CTCTTCTCCCGGGCTCTGAGCATGCAGGTCTGGTTCCTGGTGATTTCTTGGTCAAGTCCCACTGTATAAAATGACAAGATTGGTACTCCCTCTTTACCTAGGTGCAGCCATGGAGATAAGATTGTTATAGATTGAATTGTGCTCCCTCAAAATTTTTATGTTGAACAATATGCAATAGAATTACAATGGTGAACTCCTACCATCCTGTCCAGTGAAACTCTGTATTATCCTTACTGTTTTATCGAAGAATTATTTTCTCATTCCCTATAAAGGTTTGAGCAATCTTTCATTCTTACACCCGGTAATCTCAGCAATGTAGCTGAGGATAGTGATATGTAATGTAACAACCACTGTTGATTCGCATTATTTTGTCTTGAGACCCTGTACCACTTTGAATGTTCTTGCCTTGATTTGCTTATGTTTGTGATACTGGTATGCTGCTACTGTTCTATTTCTTTGTTTGTTTCTCACTTACTATTCTCTTTAAAATAAAAAAAAATTTATGTTGAAGTCTTAACCCACACACATCAAAATGGGACCATTTTTGGAAAGAGGGTTACAATGAGGTCATACCAGACTAGAGTGGACCCGTAATCCAGTATCACAGCGTCTCTATAGAAAGGGGAAATTTGGACACAGGGACTGGAGCAGAAGGAAAACAGTTACACTGCAGAAGGAAAATACCATGAGAAAAATGAAGACAGCGATCACAGTGACACTGCCTTCATCTAAGGAGCACCAAAAATTGCCACAAGCCACCGGAAGTTGGAAGTATACAACAGATTGCTCCTCACAGCCCCTAGAAGAAAGCAATCCGTGCATCTAGACACTAAAAAAGATAATAGCGAAGCACATTAGATCTTCAAGTGTTCATAAGAGTGCTAACTGGAAAAGGCAGGATACAAACTGATGGTTTTAATTTTAATAAACATCTTGTCTTCTAAGATTTTATAATAAATACTATAAGACATATTTTATGTCTTCAGAATTCTGAAAAAAATAAATTTTTGTTGATTAAGCCACCCAGTTTGAGGTATTTTGTTAAATTTACCTATGAAATGAATAGGCACTGGGGAATTATTGATACTTCCATCAGGTGTCGATTTAGCTGAAGGTTGAACCACACTGGTGGGCAGGGCTGTTGTTTTGTTCACGATGCTCACTTTATGATCCTTTTGCCTTGCAAGTGTAGAAACAAATCCCACTTGGAAAGATCAAGATTAAGAGGCTAAAACCCTCTGCAAAATAACACACATTCTTCACTTGGGATCAAGTTGCACATCTGTGCATGCTTTCTCCAAAGTATATTTTCTCTTTGGTGGCTAGTGTGGGCTCCAGACGGGAATAAAAATCGAAGAGAAGTTGCTTTGAGAGCAAGAAGTCTTCTTGCATATCAGCAGGTACTCAGGCTACCAAGCACAGTCTGTGGAGAAATGGTGACAACCTCTCACCCCATGCAGGAGCTTAGGTTGTAGATTGAGAATAGCTATTTATAGTTTCCAGGCTTATTTTCTCTGAATTGCAAATCTCTTCTATTATACCCAAGCCTGCACAACAATCTTCTTAAGGATTATAGGCTCATTTATCATCATGGGGAATCTGAAGCCAGAGAATGTAGTCTGCTTGGGGAAAAGGGGACAGGGGCCTATTGAACATATCCAGTCCTAAGACCACGTGTAGTGACATTCACAAAAGCTGTGCTGTGGTGTACAGACCCTTGGTCCACTAAAGTAGTGGGCAGCCACTAGGACAGACTTGAGGAACATGTCATCTTTCTCTGGGGGTACTCAGAAAACACTTGGAAAATAAATTCAAGAAAGACTAGACTTTCTGCATTCTGGAGAGTGAACTTACACTGGTGTTTCTAGGTACTTCATTGCTGTGTAGCTTCAAAACTGAGCAAATGTAAGTTGGGCTCACTTCTTTTGAATGTTATATCAGACGTCCAGAGTTTTTGAGAAGATTTCAGCATTTTCTTTTCACTTTCTCTCCATAAATTTGGCATCAGATCTGCAAGGTTATAGGAACAATAAGTATTTCTCTCATATAGTAGATTATTAATTTCATTCTGTAATAATGTTTGTTACTTATTAATAAAAGACATAAGCAAGGCAAAATGATGATAATTAATATTTGTCCATGCAGTGCTCAATTTATATGGTCCTCGTCTGTATGGTGACATAGAAGTATCTCAGACAATTTCCTGTCTCCATCTCCCCAGCCGTGGTGCTAATGTAATTCACTATAATCTCTGATTCAGACTTCCTGTGTCTTCTTTTATTCTTCTCCAATCTAATTTCTTTCTTGCACTTGGAGAAACATAAAATGGTAATTTAGCATTGTAATAGCCAAATTAAAATTCTTCAGTACTTTCCTAAAAAAAAAGGCTCAATGATTTGATACTGTCTACATCTCCAGCTTTGTGCCTGGCTCTATCTGGAAGTTCTCCCCAACCCTTCCTTCTCTAACTCCTCATTTTTTTTCAGGCTTTCAAATTCACTATCACTTTTTTACTCATACTGAATCTAAAAAAGTCCTCCTAAATCATCACCTTGTTTCATTTTCTTCAGTTACAGCTATACTTTCTCATTGTGTATTTATGTGTAGCATGGTAGTTTATTTGTAGCCCGTTGTAGCCTGTTGATCTTCCTCACTCTTAAGTACCTGAAGAGCATGGACCATTTTTCTATTGGACTATGTGTTATCCCCAAGTCTAATGCAATTTTCTTATATTATAAGAATATTATAGATGCTCAGTAAATATTTGATGACTAAGAAAGTAGATGCCTTTAAAATAATTCTATAATTGTGTCTTAAAGGGAACACTCAAATATAATACATTATTTTTATGGTGAAATATTTTTAAACAGGAATAAAATCTCTCTATACTGAAAGTACAGACCCTGACACCTAGAAATTTTTAGCTTCTCAGAAGCTTACCTAGTAAAGTGTCCTAAAGTCACCATTTGGGAAAAAAATGACTGTGAATCTATTTCAGTGATGAATTTGAGTGGAAGATATCCAAAATGTTTACCTTTCTACCTCTAGAACTCACTTGGACATGACTTTATAATTTGTTCTTCAGGTTACTACATTACTCTGTTAAATAAGTGTCAGGCTGTCTTTTAAATTTCTTTTTTCCACAAAAGAAAAAATAATCCTTTGATCTGATGCCAACCAGATATACAAATCTTGTCCCTGACTTCCTCACTAATCAAATGAGAATAACACCCAATTCTCTAACTGACAGAGCTATTTTGAGGATCAAATATTTAGTTATTGAAAATACAAATACTCAAGAGGAAGGGGAAAAATAATTGAGATGTGTTATGTACATGTAACAGTTTCCCACAATTCATGTAATCATTATGTACTGCAAACTTGTACTAATAAATAAAAAATTTTAAAGAAAAATTTATAAATAAAAAATTTTAAAGAAAATTCAAATACCCTTAATAACAGCTGTCTTAACTTAGGATACTATCTACTCAACATACATAGCCAAAGGTCGAATTTCCAAAGTTATTTAATGGGATGTCACTCATGTTTATATTTGCATAAATACACATGTAATAATTTTCAACCTATGACCAATAAGAAAAGAAGTCTAGGAATAAAACAAAAGAGAAGAAAAAAATGCATAAACCAAGTTTAGTTAATAAAATAGAAGTGATGAATTTGTTAAGGTAGAAATAAATTACTAACTCTGATTTGATATATTTCATATATAAATTTTATGCAAATTCTCTTATATGTAGTCTTACCTTTCAATTTTGACAATTTTATTAGTAATACTGAAAATTTTTAAACTATCATTAAGCTAATCTTCCTCCTAAAGCTCCTTGTTTCTTTGGCAGTAAAGACATAAATTGTCATTCTCTATTCCTACTGAACTTTGAGGTATAAAATTTTTTTTGCTTAGCCAACCTAAATCAACCATGTAATGGAGCCCCTCTGGGTAAAAATTATACCTAAAATATGCACCTGAATAGAAGAAATAAAAACATCTCAATTCCAAGTCTTTTTTTTTTTTTTCTTTTTTGAGACAGGGTCTCACTATGCAGTTCAGGCTGGCCTTGAGCTTATTTTGTAACCCAGGTTGTTCTCAAACTAGCACCAATTCTCCTGCGTCAGCCTCCTGAGTGCTGGGATTACAGGTGTGTGTGCATCACCATGCCTGGATTCCACTTCTTTTATGTAGTTTTCTGATAACTGATTTGTATATTTCTTGGATCTGTTATTCAAAAGAATAATCTTTCCATTTCCAAGGATATTTGTAAATATATGCTGATGAATGACCTAACCCCCCTCACATGCACACATGATTTTTTAAAATAAATTTGTAAAATGCACATATTACAAGTCATTATTTGTATTGCTATATTTTTCTAAAAAAGATATTAATCAACTTACAAATAGCAAAATTAAATTTCAATAAAAGACATTTTAAATGTACTGTCAAGAGTTCAACATATGCAATTTTATTTCAGGACCTATGTCAAAAAATTTCCTATGTCCTTAAAATGTTTTTATTTATTACAACAATAAATTTTTCATATCATCAATAACCTTGAAAATTAATATTGACAAAGACATTTTATCCTTATTGGGGAAACAATTCTAAATTAGGACATAAAAAGAAACTTGGTCAGTTTCAAGGTTCTTTTCATTATTTAATGGGGGTGTTAAGGAGATAACTCTGCAAAATGTTGAAATGAGAATTTGATTTTGTTCATTGTTTTTGACACCAAAAAGACAAGAAATGAGATGATTCCTCAGGGTGATTTATTCGTTGTATCATAGTGTCCGCTGTGATTGCTGTAGTACTCAGGGGAAACAAACAAACAAACAAACAAAAAAGTTGTGCGATTTACCTGCATGGACCACTGTTTCCCTCCCTCTTCCCCTGCCCCACTCTCCTCCTCCTCTTCCTCCCTCTCCCTACCTAGTAACAGCAATAACAGACACCCCACTCAATTATCCCATCTTTTCTTCCCCAGGCTAAGACTACACACGCTCTCTGAGAAGCCCCACTTTCCTGCATGACTGAGAGAGAAACCTTCATGTGTGTGCACTCAGAGAAAGGGAGATGCAGTCCCTCTTGCAAGACGCAGTCACCACTGAGAATCATAAGTACATGAATGCCCCTGGAGACCATACTCTTTAAGTGAAATAAACTGCACACACTTGTGTAAATACCACACTGTTTCTCTGCTGTGAGAAATGGAAAGTGTAAATAAGGACCAAAATGTACACTGGGTATTGTGAAATAGGAAGAAAATGTTCAAATGGAGAGGGAAATAAGGGAGGGGGAAGGGGAAAGGAAAGAAGAAAAAAGTTTAAAAAGTGAGAAAAGAAGGAGAAAATGGAAACAAAGCTTGTGTAAATGGGGAGGGGAAAAGGAATTGAAGAGAGGGAAATGGGGAAAAAAGAATCAAACATATCACATACAGGTATAAATTCTCTATGATACATGTGATCATTATGTATATCTAAAATGTACCAATAAAATATCGTTGAAGAGAAAAAAGAAGGAAAGAAAGAAAGAAAAAAATGCAAAGGAGGAAGAAAGAAAACCAAGTTATATCTGCTCCAGTTTTCCTCCTATAGCTTGGATAACCCTTACCCAATCTGCCTGAATTAAGGCAGAGGCTCTTATTACATGATCTCAAAAGTATTAGCTATAGCAAAAACTGGAATTGTCTTTAGTTTTTTAGAAACACAGTATTCTGGCCCTTGCAGATCAAAAGCCCTGGCCTTCAAGCAGCTGTCTCTGTCATTCTCAAGAGTCGATTTTTCATCTTAAATGCCAAAGTATTAACATTTGTCTCTGTAGTCTATATAATCTAGTCTCTGAAAGACTGCATATTAATGAGGTAATAGAGGAGATGGCATAGCATAGGGGAAATGGATTGGACTATGAAAACCATTTCAGTTAAATAGAAATCTGAAACCTGTTCATCCACCTGCCTATTTAGCTATCTGTTTCTGCAGAAGGCTTTCTCCTTCTTTAGATAATTCAGGCATGTCCTTTGCTTCATCTCTCAGAATTTTACAGTGTTCCCCACTTTGCTTGAAGCTCTACTTGAGCATCCACTTGAGACATTTTCACTGCCTTCATCCTGGAATTATTGCACTTGACCTGCCATTGAGTTGACTGGGCACTCCACTTATCCCTCAGACCATAGAGTTTCATTTGAAAGGTGAACAATGTCTTAAAAATAATGTGTTACTGTAGTCTGACAATTTAGAACACCAGAATAGGTACTTTTTTTCTTGCCACTAGTATGAGAACTCACAGTGACAGACTACTCCAAAAGTAGAATGCAATATCAGAGATGAAGTTGTACATAAAAACCTCTGGGGTATAAATTTATTGAGAATTTACAATAAAAAAATTTTCAGCACCCCCCCATTACTATTTCTTTCATTATTACTGTTAACTCCTTTCTTCATAATTATCATGCGGTCCCCAGGTCTGCAAACTTTTCCGGTAAAGACTACATAGTAAATTTTTTAGGATTTGTACAGTATTTGTTCTGGCACAATAACTCCATTTCTTGATAGTAGGGCAAAGTTGCCACAGAAAGTACAGAAATGAACAGACACAGCTGTATGCCCATGAATTTATATATGAAAATGAGTGGTCAGTCAAATTTAGTTCGTAGTTCAGTTTGCTGGCCATTTAGACTATTTAGTCCCCATCTAAAAGTATACCCCTTTTTAACTTATTTTACATTCTCTGCTTTATTAATTTTTGGAGAGGTCACTACTTCCCCTGTTGACATGGCACAACTTAAGTCTATACCTATCTCTCATCCTGGCATTTAAAATCTTCTACAGTAAGACCATTAGAAAGAAAAAGAAAATGGAATGAAGCAGAAAAAAGTGTTGGGAAAAGTTCTCTACATTCTCCTTTGAGTGAGGACAGGTAAGCAGTTCAATGGGCATTTTCAAAAGATACAGAAACTTCAGTCATAAGCCAAGGCGGTATTGGTGCCTACAAAACTTTCTAGCATTGCTGGAAAATACAAAGGCAGATCTTGAGGACTGTTACACACTAGGTAGTCAGAAGGCATCATTCATAGCATTTTCTACTCTATTAAGTAGTCTCAGCCAACAGTCCAAGGGACAGGACAAGGTAAACTATCATCCATGAATCAGGCAGGTGGCAGGTTTATCAGCAACTCAAGGAAGCTAAACTCTGTTTCTAAGTTTCTGGATATAATTCAAATGACTGGAAGCATAGCAGAACAAAGGACTAGATCCATAATAAACCAAGGAACTAAGCAAAGGAATTGGAGCAAAGAGAGGCTCACTTGTACCTCAGAGCACACAACAGAAAGGCCTACTCAGATAACATGAAATCTGTCGTGGGGCAATACAGAGAATGCTAGTTCGGGTTCTATATGACCTTCCTGGAAAATGGCTCAATTAAGTCAGAAAATTCAAAGACACTGTCCTTTGCAGTTACTGTATATTCTCTCTTACAGATGATGAGAGGCTAAGTGATACCAACTTGAGTGCTCCCAAGACTAGAAGAGACATGTAAACCCTGACTTGAAAAATACAGTAGGTAGAATACAGTAGGCAGATGCAAAATATTTGCATCAGCAAATATTTCGTCATGGTCTGACTTCAAGAAAAATCAAATAACATCTAAAGACCATTTATTTAGTCACCTGGAAAAACCACAGTCACAAACATCAATAATGTGATCATCTACATGAGCAGCAAAGATTCACCTGCAGAAAGAGCTAAGTGGAAAAGCAAATCAAAATTAGATGACAATTAGGTAAGCACAAAACTAGCAGAAAGATGAATGGATGTGTAAATTGTTTAAAGGAGGTAGGATAAGATAACATGAAATACATCCACTTCGCCCTTGAAATATCCTTCTGAGTGGACCCAGGGCATCATTATCCACCACCTGCAAATTCCTGCATCTCTTCTCACAAGAGAGACACCATTCCTGGCAAGGGAAGCGTTGGAGTTTCAAAGACATACGTAGAGTCTGATATCCTTTTACTATTCTTGGATTAGCATTGCCAATATTTATTTCCCTGCAACTCTTCTTTTTTATATTTCCATCCTTATTCCATATTTATTTTATTTTTGATAAATGCATTCAAATAAATCAGTGTGTACCATCTATTTATATTCACATCCATTTAACATGGGAACCATTCTGTATACCTCCCATGATTTTTCCTATCTTTGTTCTGGCCTACAGTTTTAATTCTCAAGGAATATTCCTATTCATTTAATGTCCAAAGAGTCAAAGTCTTCTCATCATGCCACTAGCGAGTACTATAAAAGGGGGGGGAAAAGCTACAGAAGCACACAAATGTGTACACTAGACAAATTGTGCTCCTCATCTGATTGGTAGAAATGAACATTTAGGGACCCAGCTGTTGGTAGGCAGATCAGTGAATCTTGTTAAAATAATTTAATTCCAAGCTTCACTACATCAAGGTTTACTTCCTGCCTCAATTAGTATTGGCTTAGGAATAGATGTGGGACTACAACCTCTGAGTAATTGGCAGAGGGAGCATAGATAAGGCCCTGGGTGTTGTGGGAAGATCCAGCTTCTGAGCATCTGGTGGAAATAGAGGTAGCATGGCACAGGCGGCCAGCCACAGAGCAGCGGAGGAGGTCCCAGTGGGGAGATGGGATGAATAAATACAGACCTGCTTGGGACAAGGGAAAAACAAGTGGTACTCTAGAGAGTAAGAGCTGGGAATCTGTACTGATCAGTTTGGAATATTAGCTTCAGAGAGCAGAAAACAGAAAAAAAGAATGGGAGAATATAACCATAAGTGCCTATGCACAGACTAATAATTATTCTGAGGTCTTCATTTATGAGTTGCTTAACCATGGAAAAGTCACTGATGCTCACCCCTCCTTTGAAAAATGGGGACAATAAAACTACTGCACAGGGTTATTGTAAAGAGTAAATAAGATAGTGCATATAAACTGCTTATTACTCTGATCCATGAAATACCCTAATAAATACTATTTCCTTTTGAATTCATGTCAGAGATTCTTAGCCTGGAATTCATAGCCCCAATGAGAATAGGGAAGAATATAAACCCTTTCAAATTACTTACAAAAATTTATGTGTACATGTATGTTTCTGTGTACTTTTCTAAAAAGAAGTATGTATACTTCCACAATTTTCAAAGATCCATATTACTGGAATAAAGGTTGAGAGGCACTGCACTAATACATAGAGGCAAGATAGAATTTTTAAATCTTACTCATAGGAGAAAATGAGATTCTAACATATGAACCTTCTAGGTTCCCCTTAACTGAAATTGAATAGGACTAGACCTCAGGAATTAATGTTTTAATTCTGCCAGCTAAACATGAGAACAGTAGATTGAATGTTGGATTGAAGAGCAATCATACAACAGGGAATTCTTTAGTTGACTCAGTTCCCTATTTAGATTTGGCCATACATTAAAACATTGTTCTCCTCTTGGTTTTTCATTCCATCATTAGCTAAATTGTCTTCTACTTTATTATGGCCTGTCCTTCCATCCCAGGATGTATATTCTGGCTTTTTCTGGTCAGAAGCCAAGGAGATGCTCAGCGCAACAAATATGTAGATTCCAGACAATTTTCTTTCCATTTGTGAGATGATCCTTTTTGACAATATTTATCAACTGCAAATTATTTCAAACCAGTGTTCATGAAGAGCTAGGAAATTAAACAGATGCTTTGATTTATGATGAAAACAATTACAACAGAGAATAGTCTGTATATTGGCAGTTGTAATAACTAGTTCTCCTTGACATGTTCATAGACCATTCCAAACTATTGAAAGGTTTTGCATTAATATAAAATAAAGAGTAGGTCTGGAACCAACTTATCTACCTTTTGTAAAGTGATGAAATCATTAATATTCTATATACATGATGAAGATAATAAATTGAGACATAAATATTTTTGTGAATTACAAAAATAAGTCAAGTCAGTACAAGTTCTTCCTTTGCCAAAGTTAATATTTCAAGACAAATAGGGAAATAAAAAATTAATAAATATGCAAAGGATCATAACTCTAGTCCCTTAACATATTCATGAGCCAATTAAGAAAATATGGTTGGCATTCCATTATTGGTGGTAGAAAATTTGATGCAAGGAATAATTGGTCTGCGGGTTCATGAGATTATATACTGAGTTTTTTCTCGTA